CGATAAATTCAGGCCGGTATCTCTCAAAAAGAAGTTAGTCATTTTTCAAAAAAATCTGTGACCCCGGATATGCAAAAAAATCAAAAAAGTGTCAAATTTGAGAAAAATATTTTTTGGCTCGAAACAACCTAAAAATGCCTTAAGATACGATCCCAAGACCGTTTGTGGAGTCTCGATAATTCAGGCCGGTATCTTCAAAAAGAAGTTAGCGATTTTTTCAAAAAATCTTATGATCCCGGATATGCAAAAAAATCAAAAAAGTGTCAAATTTGAGAAAATTTTTTTGGCTCGAAACAACTAAAATGCTCAAGATACGTCCCAAGACCGTTTATGGGTCTCCGATAAATTTCAGGCCGGTATCTCTCAAAAAGAAGTTAGTCATTTTTCAAAAAATCTTGATCCCGGATATGCAAAAAAATCCAAAAAGGTGTAAATTTGAGAAAAATTTTTTTGGCTCGAAACAACTAAAATGCCTTAAGATACGATTCCCAAGACCGTTTGTGGAGTCTCTGATAATTCAGGCCGGTATCTTCAAAAAAGAAGTTAGTCATTTTTTCAAAAAAGCTATATCCCGGATATGCAAAAAAATCCAAAAAAGGTCGAATTTGAGAAAATTTTTTTTGGCTCGAAACAACCTAAAATGCCTTAAGATACGATCCCAAGACCGTTTTGGTGTCTCCGATAAATTTCAGGCCGGTATTTCCTAAAAAGAAGTTAGTCATTTTTTAAAAAATCTGTGACCCCGGATATGCAAAAAAATCAAAAAAGTGTCAATTTGAGAAAATATTTTTTGGCTCGAAACAATCTAAAATGCCTCAAGATACGTTCCCAAGACTTCTTGGAGTCTCCGATAAATTTCAGGCCGTATCTGCGAAAAAAGAAGTTAGTCATTTTTAAATAATCTTGACCCGGATATGCAAAAAAATCCAAAAAAGTGTCAAATTTGAGAAAAAATTTTTTTGGCTCGAAACAACCTAAAATGCCTCAAGATACGTTCCCAAGACCGTATGGAGTCCCGATAAATTTCAGGCCGTATCTCTCAAAAAAGAAGTTAGTCATTTTCTCAAAAAATCTGTGACCCGATATGAAAAAAATCCAAAAAGGTGTAAAATTTGAGAAAAATTTTTTTTGGCTCGAAACAACACTAAAATGCCTTAAGATACGATCCCAAGACCGTTTGTTGAGTCTCCGATAATTTCAGCCCGGATCTTCAAAAAAGAAGTTAGTCATTTTTTCAAAAAATCTTGATCCCGGATATGCAAAAATCAAAAAATGTCAAATTTGAAAAAAATTTTTTTTGGCTCGAAACAACTAAAATGCCTCAGATACGTTCCCAAGACCGTTTGTGGAGTCTCCGATAAATTTCAGGCCGGTATCTCTCAAAAAAGAAGTTAGTCATTTTTAAAAAATCTGTGACCCCGGATATGCAAAAAAATCAAAAAGTGTCAAATTTGAGAAAATTTTTTTTGGCTCGAAACAACCTAGATGCCTCAAGATACGTTCCCAAGGCCGTTCATGGAGTCTCCGATAAATTACAGGCCCTATCTCTCAAAAAAGAAGTTAGTCATTTTTTCAAAAAATCTGTGACCCCGGATATGCAAAAAAATCCAAAAAGGTGTCAAATTTGAGAAAAATTTTTTTTTGGCTCGAAACAACCTAAAATGCCTAAGATACGATTCCAAGACCGTTTGTGGAGTCTCCGATAAATTTTCAGGCCGGTATCTGTCAAAAAAGAAGTTAGTCATTTTCAAAAACTATGATCCCGGATATGCAAAAAATCAAAAAAGTGTCAAATTTGAGAAAAATTTTTTTTGGCTCGAAACAACCTAAAATGCCAAGATACGTTCCCAAGACCGTTGTGAGGTCTCGATAAATTTCAGGCCGGTATCTCTCAAAAAAGAAGTTAGTCATTTTTTAAAAAAATCTGTGACCCGGATATGCAAAAAAATCAAAAAAAGTGTCAAATTTGAGAAAAAATTTTTTGGCTCGAAACAACTAAAATGCCTCAGATACGTCCAAGACCGTTTAGGGAGTCTCCGATAAATTTCAGGCGGTATCTGTCAAAAAGAAGTTAGTCATTTTTTAAAAATCTTGACCCGGATATGCAAAAAAATCCAAAAAAGTGTCAAATTTGAGAAAATTTTTTTTTGGCTCGAAACAACCTAAAATGCCTTAAATACGATTCCCAAGACCGTTTTATGGTGTCTCCGATAAATTTCAGGCCGGTATCTCTTCAAAAAGAAGTTAGTCATTTCAAAAATCTATGATCCGATATGCAAAAAAATCAAAAAGGTTACATTTGAGAAAAAATTTTTGGCTCGAAACAACTAAAATGCCTCAAGATACGTTCCCAAGACCGTTTGTGGAGTCTCCGATAAATTTCAGGCCGGTATCTTCAAAAAAGAAGTTAGTCATTTTTCAAAAATCTTTGACCCGGATATGCAAAAAAATCCAAAAAGTGTCAAATTTGAGAAAAAATTTTTTGGCTCGAAACAACCTAAAATGCCTCATGATACGTTCCCAAGACCGTTTGTGGAGTCTCCTGATAATTCAGGCGGTATCTCTCAAAAAGAAGTTAGTCATTTTTTAAAAAATCTGTGACCCCGGATATGCAAAAAAATCAAAAAAAGTGTTACAATTTGAGAAAAATATTTTTTGGCTCGAAACAACTAAATAGCCTCAAGTGATGTTCCCAAGACCGTTATGCAGTCTCTCGATAATTTCAGGCCGGTATCTCAAAAAGAAGTTAGTCATTTTTCAATAATTTCTCTGACCCCGGATATGCAAAAAAATCAAAAAAAGTGTCAAATTTGAGAAAAATATTTTTTGGCTCGAAACAATCTAAAATGCCTTAAGATACGATCCCAAGACCGTTTGTGGAGTCTCCGATAAATTTCAGGCCGGTATCTGCGAAAAAAGAAGTTAGTCATTTTTCAAATAATCTCTGACCCCGGATATGCAAAAAAATCCAAAAAAGTGTCAAATTTGAGAAAAAATTTTTTGGCTCGAAACAACCTAAAATGCCTCAAGATACGTTCCGAAGACCGTTCATGGAGTCTCCGATAAATTTCAGGCCCGTATCTCTCAAAAAAGAAGTTAGTCATTTTCTCAAAAAATCTGTGACCCCGGATATGCAAAAAAATCCAAAAAGGTGTAAAATTTGAGAAAAATTTTTTTTGGCTCGAAACATCCTAAAATGCCTTAAGATACGATCCCAAGACCGTTTGTGGAGTCTCTGATAAGTTTCAGGCCGGTATCTCTCAAAAAAGAAGTTAGTCATTTTTTTCAAAAAATCTGTGACACCGGATATGCAAAAAAATCAAAAAAATTGTCAAATTTGAGAAAAAAATTTTTTGGCTCGAAACAACCTAAAATGCCTCATGATACGTTCCCAAGACCGTTTGTGGAGTCT